CCCCCCCCCCCCCTCCCTCCTCTCCCCCTCAGGGAGCCAGTCTGCCGGTGATGGAGCTGACCGAGCTGCCGAAGTGCACCGTGTGTCTGGAGAGAATGGACGAGTCGGTCAACGGCATCCTCACCACTCTCTGCAACCACAGCTTCCACAGCCAGTGTCTCCAGCGGTGGGACGACGCCACGTGAGTTGTGTAGACGCACGCGACCGCAGAGATCAGCTGACGTTTGACCTCTTTTCTACCAGAGATGACTCTAGAAAGTGTCTTTGTTTGCATTTAACAGATTATTCATACAAAATATAAATCGACTCCTAAATGATGCTGTATGATTATAGATTAAACTACTCAGCAGCATATAAAATCATTCAAAAACATTCGTGATTCATACATTATTCTATCAGTGATTATCATCCAGTAATATAAGATGTATGAATCTGAAATGAACCATTCTGCAGCATGAGTACTTTTACTCTCACCTGGTCCACTGGTTGGTTCTCCAGGCTTCATGTCATGTGACCTTTGTTTTTGTATTCTTCTGTTTCAAAAAGACACACACTCGCACGTGTGTGTTACAATAGATGAATATGTTGTGTGTGTTTCAGGTGTCCTGTGTGTCGATACTGTCAAACACCAGAACCAGTGGAAGAGAACAAGTGCTTTGAGTGTGGAGTGCAGGAGGTAACGTGATCTTTTAAATCACTCTAACTTTAGATTATGTTATCTTAAATTATTTTCTCACCCCCTCGCTTCTGTCTGTCTGTCTCTCCCTCCGTAGAACCTGTGGATTTGTTTGATCTGCGGTCACATCGGTTGCGGTCGCTACGTCAGCCGGCATGCCTACAAACACTTTGAGGAAACGCAGCACACGTACGCCATGCAGCTCACCAACCACCGGGTGTGGGACTACGCCGGAGGTACCGACTCTGTGCTCATGTGTGTTTGTGTCTTCAGTCATCCATTACATCCATTGGATCAAGGATTCATGGCTTTTGAAGCTGCAGTTCTGTCCACTAGAGGGCAGCAACTTGAGAGACGTCCCTTTATAAAGGTGTTCTGGGTAATATTTAGTCCTCTGATTGTTTACCTGGTGTGTTTGTAGAGATCATAGATAACAGCTTCAGTGTCTGACATCAAGGTAAAGAGGTGAAAACATTCTGAATATAACGTTCACTTAAAGTGATAGAGATTCTTTCAGGAGTCTAGAATACGTCCACAGCAGAACATCTACTGTAGTGAAACACTGACTGTGGAGAAGAACCTCCATCACTACTGTGTCTTTAAATAAACAGTGTTTTAAGTGTTTGTTCGTGACTCCCGGTGATCTCTGTGGTTCCAGATAACTACGTCCATCGACTGGTGGCCAGTAAGACTGATGGGAAGATGGTGCAGTACGAGTGTGAGGGAGACACCTGCCACGCCGAGAAAATAGACGCGCTTCAACTCGAGGTAAGCGTTTCCTTTTGTGAGGCTTTGTTTTTGCTGAATCGGCACATAACTGACTTGACTCCTCATCGTCCATGTCTGCAGTACTCGTACCTGCTGACGAGTCAGCTGGACTCTCAGAGGATCTACTGGGAGAACAAGATCGTGCACCTGGAGAAGGAGACGGCCGAGGAGGTACCGAGTGCACGCAGCACATCCTGTGAAGTCTTTGAGTTTGGTTTCTTTTTTATCTGATCGCTCTCACGTCTCTTCAAGATCAACAACATGAAAGTTAAATTCAAGGAGACTCTGGAGCGCTGCGACAATCTGGAGAGACGGTTTGGAGAAATCGGCAAAGAGAAGCAGGGCATCGAGAAAAAGTAGGTGAAGAGCGACTCAAGTGGCGTCTGTCCTGTTTGTTTCTGGAGGTTTTCCCGTTATTTTAATATTAATACTTCCCATGAATATGACACTTTGTTCTGAGGTAGGAAAACACAGCTGAACTGTAAAACATTTAAAACGACTATGTGGGAGAAGCTGCTGCAGCTACTTTGACATTTGAATTAAAGCGGTGAAGATCTTTGGAGACGGTGTCTTTAATGATGTCACCTTTTTAAGATGAAAAGAATGCAGCTCAAAGTGTTTCACAAAAACAAGTTACACATTTGAAATATAGAGGGAAGTCAAATGATACCGAATATGTTTCTGTGCACTCGATATTCTTACTCGCAGGTGCAAACACAAACATTTGACCCTGGAAACGTAACGTTCTCTGGAATAATTGTGATGTCAGCGCCCAGAATTCAACCCTGTGACACACTCTTGTTTTCTTTAATCGTCACAATGAATCATGGGTCATCAAGTGGGATTAAAGGTTTTAGATATAAATAAAGATTAGATCTAGATTTTATCATATCGGTGTTTCTGTGCAACAATGGAGCTTTGTCTTTGCCAGCAGAAAGTAAAACATGTCCCAACAGGAACAAAAGGGTTTAATTATAGACATTAATCAAGTGTGTCATTTGGTATTTTCTGCATGCAGACTCATCAAAATGATCAGTTTTTTCTTGTTATGGCAACTCACAACGCCTGCTGTTAAAATGTTTTATTAAAGGAAACTACCGGAAGAGCTCCAAAAATACAGGTTTCACTGTAACGACTTTGTGCCAACATACACCTGATTGTGTGTTTTTTGTGCCCAGGTGCACTCAGCTGCACACTCGAGTGGTGAAGCTGAGCCAGGAGCTGAAGGAGGAGCAGGAGATGAACCGCTGTCTGAGAGCCAATCAGACGCAGCTGCAGTCCCAGCTGGTGGAGGAGGAACGCAAAGGAAAGGAGAGCGGTGAGTGAAGGAGGAGGAGGAGGCATAAACTCATGAATGCTGGTGGAAGATTCGCTCCAAACGACGGTGATACATCGGTGTAGAAGTTTCTTATTTTCTTTTACAGTAACGCAGCAAGTGAAAGAAATGTAGAATAACTAATGTTCACTTTACTTCAGAAGTGTTTTTGTTTGTGTACTTCCCTCATTTTAATACTACAATACCTTCACAGCAGCACTACGGATCTCCTGATTTAAAGGGAAACTTTTCAACCAGCTTTGTGTCGTTAAAGTGAGTTTTAAGCCCGTTGGAAACTTAATTATTGTCAGAATGCAAATGTTTCTACCTCTTAACATTGAGCTTTCATCGGCCTCTATCTTCTATCTATTCATAGTATTTATGATCAAACGTAAGAAATATAAAACAACCAGAGATCACCAGACAGTAAATGTCAAACAATACAAACGCCTCTTTAGATAATCACTAATAAGCCCCAACATGCATGTAAATATTTGCCCTGTTGGAGCTGCAGGCTTTGATTTTGTTCGAGAGAAATTTCTCTCGTTTCAGTTTCTAAAACTTCCCCCGTTGTCATTTGCCAGATGATATTTTTTCCAGCTGTCGTTCGAACTACAAATTGTACTTTTTGTGCAAAAAACTTCCCGTCATCCTGAGGACTTTGAGCTCCGAGTGTAATTATGATACAAATCTGGTTGAAAATGGGCAAAGTTTCCTTTTTATTATCTGCTGACAGAAGTCTGCTCCATAACTTCTATCTTCACCGAACTGTTGATTAGATCTGAAACATCCGTCGTCTCTACTTCACACAAACTCGTTGATCCAAACACTCACGGTCCGGATTCAAAGCTCCAACATTCAGAAGCTTGGATCTCTGATAATGACTTAAAGTTTAACTTTGAGAGCGTGACTCTCGAGATCAGCTGGTTTTACTCCAGAAGACGTCAGAAACACGGCGGTGTTACAGAGTGACGCGTCTTCTCTTTTACAGATGATCTTTGAGTACAGAGAGCGCTCCAGCTTTTTAAACATGTTTCATTTTGGCCTTTTTGTCTTTTTAAACCTGCAAAAGAGACTAAAAATAAGAAGCTGCTAACTGAACGTTTTGCACACGAACTTTTGTGTCAAATCTCTGATTAATCCCACATTTATTATCGCATAATAACCATCAGACCGAGGTTAACGAAACACTCATTTAATCCGGTTTATTTGATCCGATACAGATCCATTAAAGCAAGACGTCTCTACACATTAGCTCGCCTGTTGCTGCTCGTTTATTTCACCATAACCACCGTTCATGTCGACGCTCGGCCGGTACACATTCAGAATACTGCAGAAAAACAATGACCTGTTCCTGAAGGTAGTCGGGTTATTCTTTGTTTCTGGAGCCGGCAGTCTGAGAGATCACTTCCTCATTTATACTCATAATATTTGCAGATCGCTGGAGTCACATTCTGCACGTAGACCAAGTTAGATCAGCTTCAGTCCACCTGCTGCAAGTCAGATCCTGTCCGTTAAAGTTTTATAACGCGTTCATTTAATTCATCTTTCTTTCTAACCGTGTGTTTGAAATGTGGGAACGTCTGCAGAGCAGCGTTTGCTCCGGAAACATTCTGACATTTCAGCCTGAGGGCGACCTGAATGTCAGCGGAGAGGTTGAACGTTGAGACAGACCTGTATTATTCAAAAGATCCTCATCGCATCAGCTCTCTGTTTATGTGGAGGACACACAGTTTGTGCCATAACATAACCTGTGTGTGCGTGTGTGTGTGCGTGTGCGCGTGTGTGCGTGTACACACACGCGGGCCCGCAGGGCCGAATCCCGCCGAATCCGGCCCGCCACGTCATTTTATGTGACCCGCGAATCCGCCAGCAAAAAAAAAAAATAAAAATAAAAAAATAATTAAAAGTTAGACTTGATGATAAAAATATCTCCGTAGTCGAAATTATGAGATAGAAAGTCATAATGATGAGATACTTAAACACACAGTCACAGAAGCAGCTCTTTGGCTGGTTACTGTACACTTGAAATGTAAATGTATTGTGAGTACATTGAAGACTACTTTAAACGTGTCTTTACAACACATGAAATACTTCACGTGGGATTGTGTAAACGCACCCTTGAAAGGATTTTAAGCTTTGAACAAAGTTAATGTAATAACTTGTGTTTGATATTTTCTTTAATAGTTTGATCTTTGATAGAGTAATGTGGGTTTCTTAACCCTAAATTAAAAGGATTTAAGTTACAATAACGTATAAATGTAAAAATATATTTAAGCACATTTCTAACTGCATGTACAATATTTTTACACTTGAATAAACAATAATCAAATGCAGAGACGGTTATTGACCAATATGTTAGGAGAAGTTACATTTACAGTCTTACATTTACAACCGGCCCTTTGAGGGCGACCGTGATGCTGATGTGGCCCAGAGTGGAAATGAGTTTGACACCCCTGAGTTAGAGACTGTTGGAGAGTTTAAAAAAAGTCAACGTTTGTGTTTTATTTCTTTATTAATATACCAGGGACAGGTGACACCTCAATGTCAATGTGCCAGTTAACTTCAGAGCGTCTGTGGTCTGCGGGCAGGTGGACTTCAAAGAAAGCTTTTTACGTTACGCTTTAAAAATGACAGAAGTGGAATTCATTTGTGACGATTATCTTGATGAACTGAACATGTAAATATAAACCATTGTTTGACACAGAGATTATTTAGACAAACTTCAGCTCCTTGTGTTTCTGATCTTATCTCTATTTGTTCACTGACAAACGCGACACAAACACCAACATTTGTTATTTCTGAGCTCCAGTTTTGGATGGAATCTGACGTCCTTCAGCTGCAGACTTCTTGATCTCTTCAGCAGAGTTTCACCATCTGAGGTTTAGCTGGTTACATCCTGTGCTGCTGCTCTAACCAGCTAAACCTCAGACCTCAACAACGGTCCACTTATAGCTCATTAAACGTCAACAGGAGAGCGTTCACAAGGTTTAGACTTGTTGAATTATTCCATATTTAAGATAAGATAGAACTTTATTAATCCCGAAGGAAGTTCTTGTGCCAGAGTTTGATCAGAAGATTACAAAAGAATAACAAAGCGTTGTATATGAACAATAGAGTAACAATTACAGACACAAAATCGAATAGGAAAGCAACAGGAGTAAATGAATGAAATAACTGCAGTTCCTAATAATACAGTATAACTAGAATAGAGAAGTAATATTGAGAGTGATATTTAAAAGTAATAAAAAGTTATACTGCACATAGTATAGTCAAAATAATCTAGCTTATAATAATACTTATGTTAAGAGGTGACGTTTAAAATACGGTGACGTGTGTTTTATAGCAGCTTCAGCTCGTCTAAAATAAATATTTATACAGTTTCTTTTGTTTTCTAAGATCTCTATGACTTTGTCTTATTCTTGTTTCGATCGTGTTTTTATTTTTCCCATCTTTGAGCAACTGTTCTGTGTCGCAAAACATCAACAGAACTCAAAACTTCTGAATATTCAGGACGTCGTATCCACTTAAAGAGACAGTACACCCTAAAATCAACGAACCATATTCATCCTCTTACCTGGAGTGATGTTTATTCGTAGATTGTTTTTGATGTGAGTTGCTGAGTTAAAATCTGTAGAGATGTTTGTCTTCTCTCCAATATAACGGAACAAGATACAACTACAAAACTCAATAAATCCCCCGATTCTCATTTTTACTGACTGGAGCCTCAACGCATCATGATGTAAGTCAATGGCTCCAGTGCTGCTAACGCTAACTAGCTCTCCTCCGGCCAATTCAAACACGCAATGTAACATTATCGGTGATCAACAAATGGAAAACATTAAAGCCGATGTCCTGGTCGCATTTAAGAGGAAGAATGTATTGTTTTATTATTATGGTGAACTGTACCTTTAAGAGGGGATGCTACGTCAAAGTTGTGTTCGATGCCCCCTAAATGAACAAACGGTAATTGTAGGTTTAATAAGTCTTCCTCTAAAGAAGAAGACTTGCTCTGGGAGTTTAGTACAACTTCTTTAAAGTTTACGGTCCGGTGTCTTTAAAGTGCATTTCCCATGTGCCCCTGCAGGGGAGCATAAGGACGGGGCGATATCGGAACTGCAGGAGCAGCTGAGGGACGTCATGTTCTACCTGGAGGCTCAGCAGCAGATCGAACACCTTCCTCCGGAGGCTCGCAGCGAGATCCAGGAGGGACAGATCAACATCGGGGCCAGCCCGTCGGACGCCGCCGGAGAAGCAGGAGGCCCCTCCTCCTCCTCCGGCAGAGGGAGGCGGGGCCGAGGCAGGAAGAGGAAGTAAAACACTGACTTAAAATAACCTGCGAGAAACTATCGGACACGTGTCTCAAACGCCTCAACTTCTTGAAGAAGAGACTAAATATTTAGCTGCACAGTTTCCCAACTTAACTTGATGTAGCTGAAGAAAAGTGGATCGTGCTGGAGCATCTTTACAGACAAAAACAAAGAATATAAATCGCTGAAACAGTCAGAATTATGTCCATTTGTTCCCAGTTTGTTTAAAATGTAAAGATTTGTTTCTTAAATCCTTTCAGGACTTTAGTGTCCATTCTTCAGTACAACGCAGGAATGTTTTACCTTTTTTCCAACATTACTCCTCGATAGTTTCCACTGAGCAGTACTCGGGTTTCAGGAAGATAACCAGCCGATCGTTGATGGAGCTGCTGATGAAGCTCATGGGTTCTGACCCGAAGCTGTGAGAGATGCGAGCATGTCCGTCTGTCCCGTATACAAAGCGCTCCGATCACACAACTTACTGTAGACACATTGACCTATGACACCTTAAAGGTACGGCGACATGTCGGCGTGTCGAGGAAGCAACAGGCGGTTTCTATTCACTCCTTTTTTAAGCATTTGTGCTTTTTGTTTGTTACTTAGTGAAACGTTTTAACCTGCAGAATGTTCACGTGAAAGCTTTAGATCGACCCGAAAGGCCTTAACTCAGACGGACATCTTTGTGTTTTTGTTTAACAATTGGCTCATAAAGTCATTTAGACTCAACCGGTAGAAAAACAAGACGCTTTGTGAGAAATGGATGCTTTCGGAAGCAGAAAGTACGGAAGACCTGAGAGGCAAATGAGAAGAAAATAATCTGATTTTAATAGTTTTCTCGTCTGTTTATGACTTTAAAAAATGTTTCCCAGAATTATTTTCCAAGTTCTTTGTTTTCTCTTTCTGTAAAAGGTGAGAAAGGTGTTTGTTGTTGTAATTCTCATTTTAGCCACAAGTTCACCTCTTCCCAGTGTTTATGTTTTTTCCAAGTTAAATTTTTATTTTTCCATGAACTCTAAACACAAAGTACAAATCATGTTTGTCAGCACGTCTTTGCACTTTAGTCTCTCGGGGTGAAATGACAAAACGGGAACTGTTTAAAATTATTTTATCATAAATGATGTTTAATCACCCTGGAAAACCTTTTCCTTTCTCACACGGGGAAAAAAGTATATATTATTTAATTATCTTATTAAATCACCCTGGAGAAACTTTCACTTGTTTTCAAAAACAATTGTTTTTATGCTAAGCTAACTGTCTTTGCGTAGCTTTATATTTAACTCACAGATACTTGAGTGGTATCGATCTTGTCTAATTCTCGGCAAGAAAAACAAATTGAGTTATTTACAAAACACTGAAGAAGAGAAACGGAACCGAAGTTTTTATCAGCCGTGCCAGAGAGCAGAACTGTCACTTTACACGCAACTTTGTTTTTTAGAAAGTGTGTGTGTGTGTGTGTGTGTGTGTGTGTGTGTGTGTGTGTGTGTGTGTGTGTGTGCGTGCGCTAGAGTGTAGATGATAAACTATTTCAGTTCACAAGTAAAAGTTATTCGGAATGCATTTATTATTTTTTGCCATTTCATTTTTCTTTGTTGGCTCCAACGTTTTAATAAATTGTTTCCTAAAGTTGTTCCGGGGGTGTAAAAGTGATCCACACGCTGGTCAGACTAAAGTTAAGAGACACAAACACCTTTTTAATGTGTCGCTAATAAAAGCAATTCTCATTAAAAAAAGTGCAGTTTTTTCGTTGTTGGTCGTCTGAAGCAAACTGCCACATCTGTCTTCCACCGTCACGTATGACTAATCCCTCCTCCCAACGTTAACAGTTTACTTACAGCAGCTTGTTGAACGTAAACTGTGTACGGAGGCTCAGAGGATGATGAATGCTTCCTGTTCCTCTGGAGTCTGATGGCTTCCTCTTCAAACCAGCTACACACTTGTCTATCTCTTCAAGGCGTGATCAGACGGTTTCTATGAATGTGACTCTCTTGACCTGGTTGGGTCGATGTGTTGCACTGCGTGACTTTTATTTTCACACATTTAGTTGTAGGGAAAGGATGCAAATGTTTGCCACACCACTTTGCATTTCTATTTATATCCCGAGTACAGTTTTAAAGTCTGTATGCCCACAAACAGAGCCGCAGCTAGCTGTCACTTTTTATTTTCAATTTATTGTCTTTTTTTAAACGTTACAAAATGAATCCGTTTGACTCTATTTAAATTGCTTTTCCTATCCGAAAACCAAAATATATTCACTTTCCTGTCCTATTGGAAGAAGCAGCAGATGTTTGGCTTTTTTTACAGGAAGATAAAGATCATCAAAATAGTTGCTGATGCATTTTTTTTTTTTTTAAGTTCCAGCTCTAAATGCATCCCCTAAAATCTCTGATCATTTAGCAAAACAAATTTCGTCCACTCAATCCTGCCACATTTGACTCTTAATTTCATCAAACTTAAAGGGCCAGTGTGTAATATTTAGGGGTATTTATTGGCAGAAATAGAGTACAGCATATTCATAACTGTTACTAACACCTGAACGTGTATTTTTGATGTTTTCTTTCCACTCGTCTGACAGAAAACATGTCATGGAGGCCAAAATCTCAAAACTGATCGGCGCATGAAAAAACATGTCAGCAGAATCACAAGTAAAAATATGCAGCAGAAAGTCTTCTGTCTGACTTCATCGTCACTGGTTTATCAACATGTACGAAGCATCAATCTGCAAACCGTGATTGTACCGAGTGAATGTACTTACTGTAGTTACTGCTGGAGTCATAGAAGTTCACGTTTCCTGCATAAATAAGTCAGAAACGACCACAAAATATCATCCAGACACTCAGCAGTGTTACGTATTTTAGTATTTGCTCAGATCTTGTTGACACCAAAAGAAAACACTTAATTTATTAATAAACTTCACTAAAAAGGTGTTATGCTTTTTCATGCAGATGAATATGCAAATGTTGAATTAATACATTAATTCATCTGTAAAGATGATTTTAAAAACGTGAAAAAGAAAAGCAGTAAACGTGGATTTGAGCTCTGGTGGTGTTTTTTTTTTTTTTTTTTTTTTTTTTTTTTTTTTTATAAAAAGAAAGCCACGTGTGAAAGTGGATCTGCTGCAGAATAAAGGAAGCGTTGTGTAAAGTGTCAGAGCAGAAAGTGGAAAGAGAATAGAAGAGGAAGAAAGAGGCGGAGCCAGCAGCTGGTTGAGAACAGGATTAGGAGGTGAGAGTCGGATAGGAGGGTTTCTTCCTGTGTGGGGCTCTCTGCTCTCTGAGCTTTGGACTAAAGCTGCACTCAAGTCACAACATTTGAGCCACATCAGAGGTAAGAAAAGTCTTTTTTCTTGTCTGTTTTATTTTACCTCTCATCCCCCCTTTGCTCTGTGTGAGGCAGTAATTCACTACCTGTCTGCACACTTTGTAAAGAAAGCTTCTAACCGACTAACTTGTGTCTTCTGTTTGTGTTTCAGCTGCAATTGCTTTGCGCTCAAAACTCACAAAGAACTCTGGCGAGAGAAGCTCACAAAGAGGTATTCTTAGTTGTGTTTTTAACACAGCAAAAATCATCAGTGAGCTGTAAAATGTTTGGAATGCGGCCGGTCCTCTCAGGTCCGTGCATGTGAAAAGACCACTGATACTGTCTGCTTTGTCTCCCCTGTGAGCTTTGCTGAATTCTTTTGTGCTGAAGTAAAAAGAGACTTGGACACAACTTTAGTACGTTTACCAGAAATGACGCTGCCTTTGAGCCAAGAACAACATCCCACTCTGATCACAGTCACATTGTTTCCTTACTCCTCCTCCCAGCTGTGAAACAATAATCCCAGAATGTATGACTAACTGGAGTATTGAGTGTGTTAAATTTGTATTTGACACATTTAGTTTTTTTTAGGCTGACCTCCTTCTGGGTGTAACTGGTAGTTCCTCCTTTTTCTGTAACTCGCACTCCATGTTTTACAACACAGATGAGTGTGTAACCGGCTCCATTTCACACCTTCCATCTGTAATTTTGCAGAATTCTGCAGACTTTATTTGAATTAATTGACGATAATTCAACAAAGGTGAAGGACTTCACTCTATAACTGAAGTCAGAATTGCACGTGTGCAACTACAGCTTCATTTAAAAGCTGCATGAATGTTTTTGCCGTCACGGTTTGCAAAACTTCTAGAGAGATACTGATGCACGTACAAGCTGTTACAAAGCTCCCTTCTGTGCAGCACGGGCCAGCTATGTTCCTGAATGAAATGCACTTCCTTATTTCTGCAGGAACATTTCCAAAGTAATTATCACTTTGATTTGAATATCATGTTTGAAGGGAAAACAGCAGCTCTGTGCCGGGAAAACTGTGTTAACATGTTTGAAATGAAACGTGATTAGCAGCAGATGAAGCAGAACATAATGATGTTATCAAAAACAAGAATGACTGCTGAGTGCCGAAACATCTATAAATATATCTTATCAGCTCTCTGCTTAGAAACTTGGCTTCGGCTGCAGTTATTTCAACACCATCCACTCACCGTGCTGTCAGTCAGAAATCTAAAAAAAAGCTTCTCTTTTTTTCCTCAGAAGTTACTGATATTTTACTGTGAAGCAATATTTCCCCTACAGACAAGAGGAAGTAGCTGAGGGAAAGCTGGTGCTGTGAAGCGTGACAAAGCATTTTAACATCAGTCTGTGGTCTTAAGAACAAACTGATGAGGAAATAAAGAGAGCCGGTTGTTAGAGGTTAAAGAAGTAATAAAATGTAAAAGTAAAGGTAGTAATACCATAGTCTAGAAATACTCAACATGCAAGTAAAAACACAAAAGAACTAATACCAAAATATACATTAAGTACCAAAAGTAAGTTAGAAAGAAAGTACTCATTATGCAGAATACTGTATATTATATTACTAGATTATATTCATAGATGCATTAATATGTTCATCATTTATATGTTATGTCATTAATATGTTCATCATTTATTAT